GGAAGGTATTAAACTGATCAGAACAATACTAAACACACCACTCCTATCTGGTGGCACATTAGCTTGACCGCGCAGTGCCCCAAATTTGAATTAAGAGGACCGACCAAGCATCTTCTTCCATCTCCCTGTTACAGAAATCACTACCATATCCATACAAATTGTACAGAATGTCAAGGATAGTTTTCCAGGGACAAATGTTGTCGCCTGTTGAACAAGGTGACCTTGCTCGGGTCCCAGGTGTACGGTTCCTAAAATGGCTGCCATATACACGTCCACTGATAGGAGACGCGGAAGGTATTAAACTGATCAGAACAATACTAAACACACCACAAATAAGGTTTCTCTCCTGTATGGCTCCTCAAATGATGCTTAAGATTAGAAGCGGCTGAAAAGCATTTCTCACACTCAGAACAAAATATATTTTTTTAACATTCTCTCCACTTTGAACGAAATGACGTTTGGGAAGAGATTAACATAATTAAACACAGGCAGTAAAAATACAGTTTTTAGCCATACCCTGTAACTTTAAAACTACACATCCATCTTCATAATTACATATTTGGAATCAGCACACTTAAAACATAAACATAACCAAAAATCAGCCAAATCCATCCAGGGGTTAAAAAGTTAGCTGGAAGTCCCTTTATGACCGACTGCAAGCACATTTTCCTGCCCAAAACAGTTCCATAGATTTGGGCTGTGAGGTCGGTCTATTTCAGGCTGAAAAAAAGACTAAGTCCCATCGCTGAATGGGACTTAGTCTCTGCAGCTGAAATAATTTCCCATTTATTGAACCAAGTGGGAAATAGCCAGGCAGGCACAAAGGGTTTGCACCAGGTCTGGGGACACAGGGGACACCGTCTTAAAGGGGCCGTGTCCCCAACAAGTCTGAGGACACGGCCTTAAAGGGGCAGTGTCCCAATCTTCCTGATGTCCCAAAAAAGGTGTTTAAAGGGCCAGCACCAGTCACATAAAGAGTCCATAAGCCCCAATATGCCCACCGACAGTCTTAAAGGGCCATACACGCCAAATAAAAGTGCATACATTTTCACAATCTCCCAGGGGCCATAGTCATGCGGGAGGAGGCTGGCAAAGAGGCTTCTCCACAACCCAGGGAAACAGGGCAATTTGCCATTTAAAAGGCCCGTTACAAATAGCAGTTTGTAACAAGGTGTCAATCCATATCTGCCAAGTGACCCGATGTAGGGGGAACAGTCCCTATTCTGCTCTGTGTCAGTGTGTATCAGGAACCTTAGGACGAGTGTCAATCCATATCTGCTAAGTGACCCGATGTTGGGGAGTAACGATATATTCTGATCTGTGTCAGTGTGTATCAGGGATCATAGGACAGGTGTCAATCCATATCTGCCAAGTGACCCGATGTTGGGGTAACATTCCCTATTCTGATCTGTGTCAGTATGTATCAGGGATCTTGCTTAGGACAGGTGTTAATCCATATCTTATGACCCGATGTTGGGGTAACATTCCTATTCTGCTCTGTGTCAGTGTGTATCAGGACCACTCGATAGGAGACGCCGAAGGTATTAAACTGATCAGAACAATACTAAACACACCACTTCCTATCTGCGGCACATTAGCTGACCGCCAAGCAGTGCCCCAAATTTGAATTAAGAGGACCGACCAAGCATCTCTTCCATCCCCGTTACAGAAATCACCGCCATATCCATACAAATCGGTGGCCACAGAATGTCCAGATAGTTTTCCAGGACAAATGTTGTCAGCCCCGTTGAACGAGTAAAATCTTGCCTCGTCCCAGGTGTGTACGGTTCCTAAAATGGCTGCCATATACACGTCCACTGATAGGAGACGCGGAAGGTATTAAACTGATCAGAACAATACTAAACACACCACAAATAAGGTTTCTCTCCTGTATGGCTCCTCAAATGATGCTTAAGATTAGAAGCGGCTGAAAAGCATTTCTCACACTCCGAACAAAAATATATTTTTTTAACATTCTCTCCACTTTGAACGAAATGACGTTTGGGAAGAGATTAACATAATTAAACACAGGCAGTAAAAATACAGTTTTTAGCCATACCCTGTAACTTTAAAACTACACATCCCATCTTCATAATTACATATTTGGAATCAGCACACTTAAAACATAAACATAACCAAAAATCAGCCAAATCCATCCAGGGGTTAAAAAGTTAGCTGGAGGTCCCTTTATGACCGACTGCAAGCACATTTTCCTGCCCAAAACAGTTCCATAGATTTGGGCTGTGAGGTCGGTCTATTTCAGGCTGAAAAAACGACTAAGTCCCATCGCGAATGGGACTTAGTCTCTGCAGCTGAAATAATTTCCCATTTACTGAACAAAGTGGGAAATAGCAAGGCAGGCACAAAGGGTTTGCACCAGGTCTGGGGACACAGGGGACACCGTCTTAAAGGGGCCGTGTCCCCAACAAGTCTGGGGACACGGCCTTAAAGGGGCAGTGTCCCAATCTTCCTGATGTCCCAAAAAAGGTGTTTAAAGGGCCAGCACCAGTCACATAAAGAGTCCATAAGCCCCAATATGCCCACCGACAGTCTTAAAGGGCCATACACACCAAATAAAAGTGCATACATTTTCACAATCTCCCAGGGGCCATAGTCATGCGGGAGGAGGCTGGCAAATAGGCTTCTCCACAACCCAGGGAAGCAGGGCAATTTGCCATTTAAAGGGCCCGTTACAAATAGCAGTTTGTAACAAGGTGTCAATCCATATCTGCCAAGTGACCCGATGTAGGGGGACCAGTCCCTATTCTGCTCTGTGTCAGTGTGTACCAGGGAACCTTAGGACAGGTGTCAATCCATATCTGCCAAGTGACCCGATGTAGGGGGAACAGTCCCTATTCTGCTCTGTGTCAGTGTGTATCAGGGATCCTTAGGACAGGTGTCAATCCATATCTGCCAAGTGACCCTATGTAGGGGGACCAGTCTCTAATTCTGCTCTGTGTCCGTGTGCATCAGGGGCTCTGAGGACAGGTGTCAATCCATATGTCAAGGTGTCAATATGTCATATGTCAGGTGTCAATCCATATTGATTGTGATTTAGGAATGTTAGGTGATTTCTGCCCTTTATGGATTAAAACCAGACTCTGTATCAACTGTGTAATTTTCCATGGGAGTTTTGCCATGGATCCCCCTCCGGCATGCCACAGTCCAGGTGTTAGTCCCCTTGAAACAACTTTTCCATCCCTATTGTGGCCAGAAAGAGTCCCTGTGTGTTTTAAAATTCGCCTCCCCATTGAAGTCAATGGCGTTTCGGGCGGTTCGCCGGTTCGCGAACATTTGCGGAAGTTCGCGTTCGCCGTTCGCGAACCGAAAATTTCGGGTTCGCGACATCACTAATAGCCACAACTGGCCTTATATGCAGGTCCCCATGCAAGGTGTTTACTTTAACATATTCCAGGGACATTCCCCACTAGACTATGACAAAGTACATACTGTATTTACATTGGCTCTCAGGTCCAGGATACTCCCACATAAAAAAAAAGATAATCCCTCCTCTGTGTCAAAGAGATAATTGAGTCAAGCACTGTACTAATCTCAATTATCTCCAGGCACAGAAAACAGTTGCAGTTGGTCTCTTTCAGGAGTACCAAATACAATAAAAATTAATGAACGTAACTGTGACAGATCCATCTGTATAGACTGGGATTGCTGGTTCATCTGTTTTGCCTTATTCGTAGAATTACCCGTTCGTATGCCCCTGTTCAGTGAATTGACTTTTCCGCCGAACAAAACTACCGAACGGACGGCCACCCAGAAGAGAAGTGTGCTGCTGGTTAACCTCTTGATCCCAATTAGAACGTTGTGGTTAACCGCAGACACTTCTCAATTAAAATCGAATGCAGGGTGGTTGCTGTTCGTATGTCGACCACAAGGCGGCGGCCATTTTAAACCATGCGAAAGACCAGCGGTGCTCGGTATTGATTTCATGGAACTGAAAACGGACACTTTTTCTGCAGAACACCGCTGAAGCCGTCGACCTCCTTTCTCAATCGACAGAAGGAGGCGAACACCGGCCGTTCGGGAGGTTTAAACACACGAATGAACTTACCCCAGATAGCCTTCCCATGGAGTCAATTGCATACCGAAAAACTGTAATAGACTTTGACTCCATGGTGATTGAACTATGCGTATGGGATCTGAGCGCTATTCACCAATAATATGCACTCAGATCCAGGCTATCTGGGGATATGAGATACGAATGGGTAGCATTCGACAAATGCAAAGTTATATATTTTTATATGTTTTTCTGTGTTGAATATAAAATGGCGATTTGCCTCTGTCCTGGAGATAATTGAATTACTTCTCAATTATCTCCAGGGCAGAGGGGAGGGAATACTAATGCATGCTGGGAATATTCTGTGTCTGTGGGTCCTAACCTGCCATATGTCTGTCTATTGTTACAGTCTCCCATTTGGTCCCCTAGGGGAGTGTCCACCAAGTGGGAGACCTGCATAAATATGGGCAGGTAGCCCACAGTAAAGCCAGTTCTTGTTTTACCCTCAATGCGGAGCTTGGTCTCGTTATTGGGGGGGGGGGATTTATTCCCGACGACTATAGACTGCTGGATGGAATTATTAGCCGCTTGGGAGATATATGCGTTCGGCTACTATTGGCAATTCGGGAGTTTGGAGCTCGTGGAGTGAAGTGCCCGTACGGATCCCGTTCATGAGTTTACAGTGTTCCTCTGCTGGCGGTTCGCATGATTGTACTCGATACGCATGCAGCCTATATTATTGCGAGAGGGGAGTATTCACTAAACGGCGGTTTGTACATTTGATGCTGAGGGTACCGTAACATTAACGGTTCGTGGGTAAGCTCCATCTCTATCCCTTGTTCAGGAGCTTGCTCCCACCGAACGCCATTCAATTTCTACACATTTTACCGAACTTCAATGGATGTTGAAGTTCCATCGGTGTTCACGCTGTCGAGTACCCAATTTGAGTTCCATGCACTCAACGACCAAACACAGCTGTATGCATTTGCAGCTAAAAATGGGTGCCACCACATGTTCGGCCATATGAATGGCGGCCACCCAGCTGACCGCTCAGAATGTTGAGATAATTGCGGTTACTGAGTTTTGAACAAGAGTGAAAAGGGTCAATGAGCAGCAAACGCCTCCCCTGGGTGGTCTGGTTGTTTGGTAGTTTGTTCGGTAAACAAACTATATGGGTCTCAGGTGTTCGGTGAATGCCATATACTGAACTACCCAGTGTAACAAATTAGCAAAAATCAACAGGTAACCGGTATTTGACTCAATATCTCCCAGACACAGAGATGCCTGGGCAGGCTTACAATGTAAATGTATGGAGAACCCATGCTGGGATTCTGGCTATAAAAGAGCGTGTCCTCAAATAAATTTTCAGCTGTACTTCCAGAACTGTGTGTCGTCTAGTTACTGGGGAAGGATAGAGCTTTTCACTTTTTAGCGCCTTATTCCAGAGTTCTAATTTGTAGGCAATTTGTCCCACCACAAACATATAGACAGAAGCTGCTCCAAATAGCCCACGATATCCCGCTATCTGGGCACTTAGGCGTTAGCCAAACAAAGTACTGGATAACTCAGAATTTATTCTGGCCAGGCATCTCACAAGACATCTGGCAGGATTGCCAAATCTGTGATACCTGCCAAAGAGTAGGAAAGAGAGGAGACCGTGCCCAGGTACCTAGAGCCTCCTTGCTAAAAAAAAAATAAATGAGATTTTTTTTTTTTTTTTTATATGAACACTTTACTACCTCATGGTTTTAAAGCCAACTTTGAGTTTAATTATTTTATATAAATTATAGATTCAAATTTGTATCTCTTTTTTTCCTCATTAGATCCATCATTGAAATATATATATTTTTTTTTAAATCTAGTATTCTGTTTAAGATTCTAAGTATTTCTTATTAATATATTTAAAGTTCAATATTGGTAATATGATTCTTAATGATGTTTATACGATTTATCATGTTATACAGTCAGGTCCATAAATATTGGGACATCAAAATAATTATTTTTCTCTATACACCACCACAATGGATTTGAAAGGAAATCAGCTTTAATTTGAGGGTATTTACATCCAAATCAGGTGAACAGTGTAGGAATTACAACAGTTTGTATATGTGCCTCCCACTTTTCAAGGGACAAAAAGTAATGGGACAATTGGCTGCTCAGCTGTTCCATGGCCAGGTGTGTGTTATTCCCTCATTATCCTATTTACAAGGAGCAGATAAAAGGTCCAGAGTTCATTTCAAGTGTGCTATTTGCATTTGGAATCTGTTGCTGTCAACTCTCAATATAAGATCCAAAGAGCTGTCATTATTAGTGAAGCAAGCCATCGTTAGGCTGAAAAAAACAAAACAAACCCATCAGAGAGATAGCAAAAACATTAGGTGTGGCCAAATCAACTGTTTGGAACATCCTGAAAAAGAAAGAATGCACCGATGAGCTCAGCAACACCAAAAGACCCGGAAGACCACAGAAAACAACTGTGGTGGATGACCAAAGAATTCTTTCCCTGGTGACGATAACACCCTTCACAACAGTTAGCCAGATCAAGAACACTTTCCAGGAGGTAGGTGTATATGTGTCAAAGTCAACAATTAAGAGAAGACTTCCCCAGAGTGAATACAGAGGGTTCACCACAAGATGTAAACCATTGGTGAGCCTCAAAAACAGGAAGGCCAGATTAGAGTTTGACAAACAACATCTAAGAAAGCCTTCACAGTTCTGGAACAACATGCTGTGGACAGATGAGACCAAGATCAACTTGTAGCAGAGTGATGGGAAGAGAAAAGTATGGAGAAGGAAAGGAACTGCTCATGATCCAAAGCCTACCACCTCATCAGTGAAGCATGGTGGTGGTAGTGTCATGGCGTGGGCATGTATGGCTGCCAATGGAACTGGTTCTCTTGTATTTATTGATGATGTGACTGCTGACAAAAGCAGCAGGATGAATTCTGCAGTGTTTTGGGCCATATTATCTGCTCATATTCAGCCAAATGCTTCAGAACTCATTGGACGGCGCTTCACAGTGCAGATGGACAATGACCCGAATCATACTGCAGAAGCAACCAAAGAGTTTTTTAAGGGAAAGAAGTGGAATGTTATGCAATGGCCAAGTCAATCACCTGACCTGAATCCGATTGAGCATGCATTTCACTTGATGAAGACAAAACTGAAGGGAAAATGCCCCAAGAACAAGCAGAAACTGAAGACAGTTGCAGTAGAGGCCTGGCTGAGCATCACCAGGGATGAAACCCAGTGTCTGGTGATGTCTATGCGTTCCAGACTTCAGGCTGTAATTGACTGCAAAGGATTTGCAACCAAGTATTAAAAAGTGAAAGTTTGATTTATGACTGCTAATCTGTCCCATTACTTTTGGTCCCTTAAAAAGTGGGAGGCACTCTGTATCTCTGCCCTGTGAGTTCTCTGATGTTTGGTAAGATCTGAGCGCTGGATAAAACATTTCCCACATTCAGAACATGAGTAAGGTTTCTCTCCTGTGTGTGTTCTTTGATGTGCAATAAAATTAGTTTGAAGACTAAAAGATTTTCCACATTCAGAACATAAGTAAGGTTTCTCTCCTGTGTGAGTTCTCTGATGTGCAACAAGATGTGAATGCTGGCTAAAACATTTCCCACATTTAGAACATGAGAAAGGTTTGTCTCCTGTGTGAGTTCTCTCATGTCTAACAAGATCCGATTTACTTTGAAAACATTTTCCACATTCAGAACATGAATAAGGTTTCTCTCCTGTGTGAGTTCCCTGATGCTTTGTAAGAACTGAGCGCTGGCTAAAACATTTCCCACATTCAGAACATGAGAAAGGTTTATCCCCTGTGTGAGTTCTCTGATGTAAAAGAAGATGTGCACGCCGACTAAAACATTTCCCACATTCAGAGCATGAGAGCAGTTTCTCTCCTGTGTGAGTTCTCTGATGTGTCACAAGGATGGAGTGCCGGTTAAAACATTTCCCACATTCAGAACATGAAAAAGGTTTCTCTCCTGTGTGAGTTCTCTGATGTCTAATAAGAAGCGAATGCCGACTAAAACATTTCTCACATTCCGTACATGAGAAAGGTTTCTCGCCTGTGTGAGTTATCTGATGTCTAACAAGATCAAATTTACTGTGAAAACATTTCTCACATTCAGAACATGAGAATGGTTTCTCTCCTGTGTGAAATCTCTGATGTCTAAGAAGTTCTGATTTACAAACAAAACTTTTCCCACATTCAGAACAGAAGAAAGATTTATCTCCTGTGTGAATTCTCTGATGTATGACTAGTTGTGTTTTACAAACAAAACATTTCCCACATTCAGAGCATGAGAAAGGTTTCTCTCCTGAGTGAATTCGCTGATGTTTAACAAGATGCGTCTGTTGACTAAAATATTTCCTACATTCAGAGCATGAGAACTGTTTCTCTCCTGTGTGAGTTTTCTGATGTCTCACAAGATCTGAATTACAGGGAAAACTTTTCCCACACTCAGAACAATAGAAAGGTTTATCTATTTTGTGAATTCTCTGATGTTTCATAAGATATGAGCGCTGATTAAAACATTTCCCACATTCAGAACATGAAAAAGGTTTTTCTCCCGTGTGAGTCCTGAAGTGGATAACAAATTTTGAATAACGGCTAAAACATTTCCCACATTCAGAACATGGAAAATGTTTTATATTTCCGTTTACTATGTCATTTGTAGACATTCTGAGAGATTTCTTGAAATTTGAGAGCTGGAATCTTTGGTCCTTTCTTAAAGGATTTCTTCATAGTCTTGCTTAATGTATTTCTGTTCTTATCATGTGCTTCACGGTAACTTCAGCTGACAGAAACCTGAAAGAAAAGTAGAGGGGTTTATTAAAAAAAAAAAAAAAAAAAAGTGGTCGTCATAAATTTATTACCAAAAATATAAATAATAAAACAAAACTGACACTTTCCATGAAAGATTAGAAATGTGACTTTGAAGCATCATATGAATTCAGAAGTAACTTAATATTTTGCGTGCTTTAACCTCTTCACAATCAAATTGCATACACACACTTAATTCGCTTTACAAAATGTTATGTAGTCCTTTACTTACTTATATTTAGACAGCAAGAATAATTAAGTATTAGAGGAACATTTTTCTCTGTGAGGCATTTATTCCACATTTTTAATGTCTGCAAATAATTTGACAATGTCAGCCCTCCCCCTCCTTCTACACAGTAGTAGAAATGTCAAAGATCTTACCATTCTTATAGTCAGGAAATGGGGGCAGGGGAGGGGGAGATGTAAATACTTTCTCACATATATGTTTCAGCTTTATGTTAACATTGCAGAGATTGTTAGTTTTTAGGTCCCCGTGGGGATCACGTAGGACACGGAGTAGGACAAGCTGACAAACAGCAAAATTCCTATACGGCAAACTCAGAGAGGAGCGACTGCTATAATTTACAACTCACAAGGAGATCAATCTAATGAAACCTCAAAGGGAGCATACTCCGAGGTCGGCGTCATAAGTCTTTAGCCAGACAGATGAGTGCACGTGGGGAAAGCAATTTATATTGCTGCAGATGATTGCTAAAGTTAAAATACCTCATTTTAATAAATCAAACTTTCTTAAAATGACAGTATTATATGTATTCATTCACCTGCGGTTGAGTTCCAAATAAAGTTTCTTTGACGGTTGTGGCGGAACAGACCTCGCCACGTGTTCTTGGGGGGGCTGCTTGCCCTCCTCCTACCTTCTGACTATGGCCCTGGGATATATGGCATTTGAAAACACTATTTGTGCCCTGTGACAAAACTGGAGATTGTGCACAAATATGACTATTGTCCATATTTCTTTTGATTCCCTTCATTTGTTGCACTGTTCCCCATGTGTTTCATCTGTTGGTCCGGCTGGATAGACTACCAGGCAAACTGTGGAGTTACTGGGTGGCCACCATTTCATGTATCAGAGGCACATAGTGAGAACAATGGATGAAGCACATGGTGAGAACAATGGATGGCAGCCATTTTAACTAACAGACACTGTTTGGACTTTTCTACACGGTGCCATCTCGCCGGTATTTGGTGCACAAAGACATCGTGCAGTAGTTGTAAACTATACAACAGGGGACACATTATACAGTAATTATTTTTCATATAGCCTGTATATGTTCTGCGTAATCTGCATTAAACTGTATCTTCCAAACTACTGAACGGATCTGGGTGAATTTGGGATATGTGGTTCACCCAGATCCCCCGGTTCCGAGGATGGGATTTTTATGGGGTTATTACATGTTTTGGGGTCCCTGTGATATGTTTTATAATACTGTATTTCTCTGCCTGTGATAATTTTATTAACCATTGTGTTCAGTAATCATATCACAGGCAGAGGGGAGGATTTTGTGTGGGAGTGTCTGTGTGTATTGTACGGATTGATTGGTTGTATTTCAAAACCCTGTGGGAATTACTAGGTTTGTGGATTGTGAATAAAAGAGGCTGTATGTGCCAGTACAGGCAGTTCTGCTTGACCTCAAAACGAAGTGTCGTCTCGTTATTGGGGGAATTGGATTGTATGCTGATAGCCAGGAGTGTAAGCTGATTGTATGCTTTTCCTGTTCAGCTGCTTACAGCATTCATATGCTTGAGAGCATTCATATGCTTCTCCGGTTCGGTGGTTGTGGTGTCTGCTGCAGTGCTTGGAGTCCTCAGGAAGCGCTACGAGCATCCTTCAACGGAGGTACCCAGTCGGGGTGTCAGGTGATCCGTTACAACGGTATTACACACACACACATATTTTTTTTATTTTTTTCTATTATTTAATTTTTTTGAGGGTGGGGCAGCACCCAACTCAGAATCAAATATTTTCTTTATTATGGTGATTCTCTGCAACCAATCATAGTATACCTATTAATTAACTAAAGGTGGCATGTTCTGAGTTTGTTCACATCCCAACAATCACTAACAGAACATAACTGCCAGGTAATTCTCATCACAAGAAGCTATTTACTAGCTGTGACGAGGTGCCCTTCGCCACATGTTCTTGGAGAGGACTAATGGCTAGCCTTTTGCCCTGTGATTATGGCCCCTGTGACTTATTGGATTTTAAAAAACTTTTTCTGCCCCTTTAAATCCATGGGAAAATGTGCCTCTTCCCCTCCCACTTTTTCCTGTCCATTGTTCTCCAGCAGGGCGTTGTCCCAGGGACACTGTCAGACCAGTTTAAACTGGCTGCTATGTCCCTCCTCAATCTCTCATCAGCCCTTGCTATTGTTTAATCCCATGGCGATCCAACTGTATTTGTGAACTTTTCATACATATTGAGCGCTCAGATCCTAGCTATCTGGGGATATGTTGGACAAATAGGTTAAACATTGTATTATAAGAGTTATGTATTTGTATGTGGCTTTTGTAACAGTTTTTGGACTTCGAGATATTTCCTGTTACTGGAGATAATTGGCTTACCACAGCCACTTTAGCCAATTATTTCCAGGATAGAGGAGAAGATAGACCGGCCGCACAGCCTAAATCTGTGGAACAGTTTTGGGCATGAAAGCTATGCTTGTGGTCAGTCAGATGTGACTTCCACAAAACTTTTGAACCCCTGCTCTGATCTGGGTGATTTTTGGATATGTTGTTCACCCAGATCAGGTCTATCCAGGGATGCATAATTTGCCGGGATAAGTGGCTACTTTCCAGCGTATGGTGGATAGACTCCTTGATGGATTCCAGGACTTTGCATGTGCATACCTAGATGACATTGCGGTCTACAGTGGGTCTTGGGAAGAGCACCTAACGTATGTAGGGGTAGTTCTGGATAAGAGTCAGGCCACAGGCCTGACCCTTAAGCAAGATAAGTGCCATCTGGGCATAGCAGAGGTACAGTACTTGGGACACAGGGTGGGGTGCGGAAGCCAGAGACCTGAACCAGCCAAGGTGGAGGCAGTAGCGAACTGGCCCACACCCCGCACCAATGCCTTAAAGCAAGCCCTCGTGAATGCCTCCGTCTTGGCTGCCCCAGTACATAATAAAAGTTTTCTCGTCCATACAGACGCTTCCATGTTTGGACTGGGGGCTGTGCTAAGCCAGGTCGGGGAGGATGGAGAGCACCCTGTCGCATACATGAGCAGGAAATTACTACCACGGGAAGTGAGTTATGCGGCAGTGGAAAAAGAATGTTTGGCCCTTGTCTGGGCCCTTAAGAAACTAACTCCCTACCTATATGGACAAGAATTCCCCTTGATTACAGACCACAACCCTTTGGTATGGCTTAACCAGGTCACAGGGGACAACGGCAGGTTGCTAAGGTGGAGCCTAGCCCTGCAACCTTACCATCACCTACAGACTCGGTAAGCACAATGGTAATGCTGATGGGTTATCATGGCATACGGACCCTACTCCAGTTCTTCGGTCCGGGCATCCCCAAGTTGACCCGTTAAAGGATCAAACCGGGTTTGCCGGAGTGTTCCACAAACGGGGAGCCGTGTGACAGATCCCTCTGTCTTAAACTGAAATGACCGTATTTGTAATTCGTTTGTTTGATTCATGTTTCCTCCTTCCTGTGTACTCTATGTCGTTCCCTTTCTATGTAACGAATAAAACTACCGAACGGCCGGCCACCCAGTAGTGTGCTGCCGGTTAACCTCTTGGCTCCATCAGAATGTTGAGGTTAACCGCAGACACCTCTTAATTGATACGGTAGTTGGGTGGCCACCATTCGTATACCGAACATGAGGTCGCGGCCATTTTAAACACGCGAACGCACAGCGGAGTTCGATGCCCAACTCATGGAACTGAAATCGGATACATTTTGGCACGAACGGCCCTATATTCGTTAGTTTGTACCTGAATACACCAAACCCCAGACAGGCATCCCGTGGAGCTTATTCGTATGAATACTGACTTTGTGAACACTTTGGCTCCATGGCGATTGGACTGTGTGCAAAGGATCGGAGCGCTATTCGGTACTTTGGTGCGCTCAGATCCTAGCTATTTGGGGACCTGTTGAATGCCTGTAATATATTGTAAAATGTAACAGTTATGTATTTTTATGTCTTTTTGTTATTGTCACCTAAAATGGCGTTTAGGCTCTGTCCTGGGAGATAATTGAATTACTTCACAATTGTCTCCCTGAGCAGAGCAGAGGTTTCTAGGTAAGAAAAAGGGAATGGCTAAGTGTGTACCCTGTGATTGGTTGCTACAATGTCCTTGTCACAGTCCCCCATTTGGTCCCCTAGGGGAGTGTCCACCAGATGGAAGACTTGCATAAAAACCAGGCCCTCATTAAACCAGATTCCTGCTGACCCTCAATACGGAGCTTTGTCTCGTCATTGGGGGATTATTCGTATGGAGTACGCTTGTTCGGCTGTTTGGGAGAATATTTGATTCGTATGATTGCTGTTCGGCTGTTTGGGGAACTAACTGATCCGTACAGCTACTGTTCGGCAGTTGGAACGCTTAGTGGCTACCTCTACGTTCGGTAAGGGAACGTCCAAGATCAACCTGTACCAGAATGATGGGAAGAAAACAGTAATTTTACTTACCGTAAATTCTATTTTCCTTAGGAGATTGGCAGTACTGCAAACAGGTGGGTAGTCACCTCCTTAAGTGGACAAGTAGCTCTGCAAATTAAATCATTTTATTAATTCTCTCAGTGTCGATGTTCAGGACTCTGGGCAAAGGCAACAATCTTTGTATCAGGACAATTAGATTATCATAACACAAGTAGATTGAGCTACTTTATAGTACATTGAAAAAAAATAATCATTCTACACCCCTGCCATGACGTGCAACCCATCAGGGAGACCAATGCCACCTAAATGCTTATTACTAACCTGCAACAGTATTGTAAGACTCTCGTTAGTCTGTAGGTGACTTCTCGCATACAGTTCATGTTCTCGTTCAATTGCTGACATAAGCTGAAGTGTCAGGAGCAGAAGAGGAAAAGAAGGGAAAAAATGGCAGCGCCCGCGAGAGACAAGCTTGGGTAAGTAAAACTCACCTTCGCCAGCCCCCAGCAGCGATGTCACATTCGGGAATATTTGCAAATTGTGCAAAGTCTCCAGATGCTGACAGATCCACTTTAATTACATTAGTTAAAGGACCACTATAGTGCCAGGAAAACATACTCGTTTTCCTGGCACTATAGTGCCATGAGGGTGCCCCCACCCTCAGGGTCCCACTCCCGCCCGGCTCTGGAAGGGGTAAAGGGGCTAAAACTTACCTTTTTCCAGCGCTGGGCGGGGAGCTCACCTCCTTCTCTCCTCCTCTTCCCCTCCTCCTGGGCTGAATGCGCACGCGCGGCAAGAGCTGCGCGCGCATTCAGCCCGTCGCATAGGAAAGCATTTACAATGCTTTCCTATGGACGCTTGCGTGCTCTCACTGTGAAAATCACAGTGAGAAGCACGCAAGCGCCTCTAGTGGCTGTCAATGAGACAGCCACTAGAGGATTAGGTGGAAGGCTTAACCCATTCATAAACATAGCAGTTTCTCTGAAACTGCTATGTTTATGAAAAAATGGGTTAAC